CCCCGCCTCCCAGTCCCGGGCCTGGATGCCTCCACGCTGGCTCTGCAGCAAGCCTTCATCCACAAACAGGCCGTCCTCCTGGTGAGCGCCGGATGGGCTGTGGGAGGTGCCCTGAGCACGGGGCCTGCCCGGTCACCACCACCACCTCTCCCCAGGCCCGGGAGATGACCCTGCAGGCCATGGCGCTCCAGCAGCAGCCTCTGAGTCCCACCCCAAGGCCCTTGCCCCCGGAGGTGAGCCTGGCCTGCCCAGGTGAGCTCTGTGCTGCTCTGGGGCAGTAGGCCCGCAGCCTATCGTGGGCAAACACGGGGTCCCTGAGAACAGGCTGGTGTGTCCCAGAAAGCGCACCCTACGCCCTGTTCTCTGCAGAAACCCCTAGCGCCAGAGGCACGGCCGAAGTTTGTGGGCACTGGACCCCCAGCCAAGCCTGTACTCCCGCGCTCCACTCCAAAGCCTTTGGCCCCAGCCCCTCTGGCCAAGACCCCGAGACCCCCCACCAAGCCCGTGGCCGCCCCCATTCTAGCTCAGGACCGGCTTTGTCCGGAAACCAGTGAGTGTCCTATGCCAGCGGGGTGGCGGGTGGTTCCCAGGACAGGACTGGGACTGTAGCTGTGTCCCCTGTAGCCTTACCCTGTCCCCCACCCGCACCCCTTGCCCACAGCTTCTCCCTGCCCGGATCTGGTCCGGTATTCAACGCTCAACTCTGAGCACTTCCCACAGCCCACACAACAGATCAAGAACATCGTCAGGCAGTACCAGCAGCCGCCGCGGGGAGGCCGGCCCGAGGCCCTCAGGTCAGCTCAGCCCCCATCCCCGCCCTCCGGGCCTCTGGAAGAGTGGCCTCCTCACCGCGTGGCCATCAGCCGGGTGGCCGTTCACCCGGGGGGCAGCCTGCTGCCCAGCCCCCTTCGGGGAGTGAGTTTGCTCACGCAGATGGTCCAGACGAGCCCTTCAGCCAGAGGAGGGCCTAGACTGCTGCTCTCTAGGTAGTGCTGTGTGACCTCAGGCCAGTCTCTGATCCTCTCTGGGTGCTCACGTATAACGGTGGGGGTGGGGGGTGGAGGAAGAAGTTCCCTATTACAGGAATTTGTGGCTGGGAAGAAGAAACTCCTGTCCGATCCCAGCAGGAAGGATGGCGGAAAGGTGTTTGTGAAGCGGCCAGACCCCCACGAGGAGGCACTGATGATCCTCAAGGGGCAGATGAGCCACCCAGCGGCAGCATCTGGCAGCCAGGTGGGGGGCACTTCCGGGCTGGGCCCCAACAGGACAGAAGACAAAGCGGGGCATTAGAAATTCAGAAACCTGCTGCCCCTGCCACTGCCCCCTTCCTGGGTGCCCCGTCTTGCCCCCTGAGCACTCTCTTTGTGGTGGGGACAGGTGCCCAGAGAGGCCGTGGCCTTGGTCAAGCCAGTGACCAGCACCCCAAGGCCATCCATGGGACCCACACCAGGTGAGAGGCCAGGAGGGAGGGAGAGAGGGAGGGAGGGAGGGACACGAGGGTCCAGGTGTATGAGGGAGCCTGTGTGCGCACAGGGGAGTCCTGGTCTACGTGTCCGTGGCATGTGTGTGTGTCTGTGTCCCTGAGCCCACGTGGACCTACTGTGTGCACATTTGTGTAAGTATATCGGCACTTAAATAACACTGATTTCAGGCCAGATCCACTCTGGCCTCACTAAATCCTCACTAAAATCCTTCAAGGAAGTACTGTTTTTGTCTATACTTTACAGATGAGAAAACAGACACAGAGGGGTGAAGTGACTTGCCCAAGGTCACACAGTTCAAAAGTGTCAGACCAGGGATCTAAACCCAACCCTGCTAGCCTCACAGTTGGAATCCTAATCTCTATGTCCTTTGCCTCATGGCAACCACAGTGAGTCTTTAAACACATAAATCAAAAAAATACATACATACATACATGCATACATACATAAATCAGCTCACCTCATGTCCCTGCCAAAAGCTCTCCCATGACTCCTAGGATGAACTCCAGACTTCTCACTATGGTCTGTGAAACCCTGCACGATCTGCCCACCTCCCCAACCTCATCCCTTCCCACTCTCCCTTTGGCACACTCTGTTCCTGGAACACAGCAAGCCCACTCCTACCCCAGGGCCTTTGCACTTGCTGTAGGTAGAATGCCCTTCCCCAGAAGATCTTTGCATGCCTGGCCCTTGTATCATTCAGGTCTTGGTTCAGTGTCATCTCAGAGAGGTATGCCAGATCACGGAGACCGAAGGACCCTCACAGGCCAGCCCCTAGACTCTTTACTAAGTAGCCCAGATTTATTTCCATCCCAGCTCCTAGAACTGAGAGCTTTATTATGCCTTGTCTGTTCTATCTACACTTACCACAAGACTCAACACAAGGGCAGGCACTTTGTCTGTACCGTTCACCTCCAGCCTGTAGCACAGACCTGCTGCATATACTAGGTGACCTATATATGTGTCAAATGAAGGATTGAGCCAGGGTGGAGCTGTATGATTGTGCGTGTGGCCTCATGATTGGTGTGTCTACAGCCAGGGGTGTGGGAAACCACTTAGCCCCAGCCCCTTCCCCGACAAGAGGTCGCCCCCAATCCCCTTCCTCATCAGCACTGCCTCTCTCACTCATGCCTCTCCGACTCACTGTGCTCCCCAGGGCCGCCCTCGCGGTCGCTGGAGCCCCCGGAGGAGCCCCTGCAGACGCGGCTGCACCGCCTGGTGAACCCCAACTTCTACGGCTACCAGGACGCCCCCTGGCGGATCTTCTTGCGCAAAGAGGTACCTGGCCCGGCTGAAGCCAAGGGAGGGGCTGCAGGGGGGGCGATGCCCTCTCCCCTGCAAGGGGCAGGGAGGAGGGGCAGGGCTGGGGTGGGGCACGAGGTGGGGCCTGGGCTAGAGGAAGGAGTCAGGGCCAGGGGTCCTGGTGGTTTGGAGCCCGCTGTATCTAGGGGGTGGGTCCGGGTGTGAAGCAGAGTGAGGGGACTGTCCCAAGGGCCTCACTGGAGCCCCGATCCCACAGGTGTTTTACCCCAAGGACAGCTACAGCCACCCTGTGCAGCTAGACCTCTTGTTCCGGCAGGTGAGGTCTTCTTTTCCCTTTCTGCCTCAGTGTACTCATCAGGGCAATGGGTACATAGACTAGCTGTCTGCAGATTTTGCTTCTGTACTCTTGGATTTGGGGTCCTTGACCACAGTGAGGATGGGAAGCTGTTCTACTGAATTTCCCACCCTCATGGACAAGGTCAGTAAGCCCACAATTTGATTTAACCAGACACACCATTTTTCTGAGCTAGGTGGGACTCAGAAGTCAGATCCCAGCCCCAGCAAGCAGAGGAGAAAGCTAGGGCCCAGGAAGGGCGGCATGGGTTGTAGAAGAGAGGAGGAAGGAGGGGCGCCTGGGTGGCTCAGATGGTAAAGCGTCTGCCTTCGGCTCAGGTCATGATCCCAGGGTCCTGGGATCGAGCCCCACATCGGGCTCCTGGCTCGGCGGGGAGCCTGCTTCTCCCTCTCCCTCTGCCTCTCTCCCTGCTCATGCTCTCTCTCTATCTCTCTCAAATGAATAAATAAAAAATCTTAAAAAAAAAAAAAAAGAGAGGAGGAAGGAGGGGGGCCTTTGTAAATGGGATCTGATTCACACAGATGACCCCACTGCTGCAGAAATAGGACCCTCCGCGTTCCCACTCCCACTAGACCAGTCCAGCCTGGGCTCCCAGCGGGGGGAGTCTCACCAGCCATCCGCATTGTGGCCCATTCCCACAGATCCTCCATGACACGCTCTCCGAGGCCTGCCTGCGCATCTCTGAGGACGAGAGGCTGAAGATGAAGGCCCTGTTTGGTACCGAGGGGGGCGGGAAAGGACACGGATGGGGGAGCCAGCTAGAGTCAGGCCAGTGCTTTCCCAGAGGGAGATCGGGGCTGACAAACCCAGCCCCGTTTGCCTCCCGGACAGCCCTCCTGGCTCTGCTTCTGGCCTCTTCCATGGCTAGGTGCCAGGCTGAGTTCAGTTTTGCCTGACACACAGTGTGGCCCTAGCCATCCTTTCTGTCTGTGTAGACACTGAGAACACGCTGTTCCAGTACCTTCTTGCCGGGTGTCAGCCTCCCTCCCTGCAATGTGGGCTGGCAGGGGAGGAGGAGGGAGGGTTCTGACCTGACCCGGCATCCCTTAGCCCAGAACCAGCTGGACACACAGCGGCCCCTGGCAACGGAGAGCGTGAAGCGGGCCGTGGTCAGCACCGCACGCGACAGCTGGGAGGTCTACTTCTCCCGCCTCTTCCCCGCCACGGTGCGAGCCCCCTGCCGGCCCCCACTCACCCAGGGGCTTCAGGGAGGAGGCTAGAAGACTCTCACGTGTCCCTTATCCCCGCCCCAGGGCAGCGTGGGCACCGGTGTGCAGATCCTAGCTGTGTCCCACACAGGCATCAAGCTCCTGCGGATGGTGAAGGGCAGCCGGGAGGCAGGCGGGCAGCTGCAGGTCCTGCGCACATACAGGTGACCGGCGGGCGAGACTGGGGCTGGCTGGAGACGGCCGTGGACCGGCAGAGTAGCGTCTCCTCCCCGACCCTTTCCCCAGCCGACTGCCGAGTGCCTGTGATGTGCCAGGCTCTGTGCCAAGCCCTTTTTTTTTTTTT